TGATGAGTTGTTCTGTTACAAGTAAGAGAAATCATAAGATTAAAACCTGCGGGGGTTAAGGGTGTGGCTTAGTGGTAGAGCACTTGCCTAGCACGTGAGAGCACCACAAAAAAAACAAAGTAAAATAAAAACCTGAATAATGACTTTCCAAGGTGCTGGTTCATGAAGATCAGACTGGTCATAACCCTTTTTGTTTAAAAAATAAAATTTGTTCCAGTACACTTACCATAATTTTAACTTCCACATTTAGTTGTGGTATAGGGACTTTACTGGGAATCTGGAATTTCATTCATTATTTGTTTGGTTACAGAACATTCTCCTCCACCACCAATTCAAATGATGACTTCTCAAAATACAATAAGTTGGGGCAGGACTACTAAAGAAAAATTAGTCCAAGTTAAATTACCCAGAGGTCTTCCAGAGTTGGGATTCAACCTACTTATACCACATTGACAAATCTCCACTCAGATCATTCTAAAGTACATCTCTGTTAGTACCCACAGTCACTTTTTGTGTGTGCTTTAAAATTTTTTCTTTAGTATAGTATTTAAAATCCTAATAAACTATATTTACGTTCCATGTTTTTTTTTTAACTCATACATTTTAAAATTCATAAAACATGCCAAAAAGGCTTTAGTGACTGATTTTCACACCTACCAAAAGGGACTATGTTACTGCTTTAAAGAAAACTTTAGGGGCTGGGAGTGTAGCTCAGTGGTAGAACACATGACCAACATCAATAAAGCCCTGGGTTCAATCCTCAGCACTTTGAAAACAAAACACAACCTTTCTTTAGCAAGGTATGTGCCTCAGGTCCTTAATCTTATCTGTTTAAGAAACTCCTAAAAAGTTTTTTTTAAAAAAAATTCATGTATGAAATTTAGATTTAGTAAGCCTTCAATGTGTTTTAAGAGCTTTCTAAGAATTTCTGCAAGGAGGTAGAAAGGGCACGTAGAACCACATTAGAATATGAGGCCTAAGCATAGATATTATTTTTTAAAGCTTTTGATAATTTATGCATCCAGTTCACTATAAATCAAAACCTCTGCACCCCATTCATGCCCTCCTCCAGAGTTTACTGCTTTTGCAGGTCCCTCCACATCTGAAGTTTCTTTTGGTGTCATTAATCTAGAATAAGTAGTCAAAGAAGGGCCTGTTCTAATTTTGTCTTTATCTGAGTTTCTACCTCCAAAGGACCACTATACCACAATATGTATAAAAGGCTTACTGCAGAAGTATATAGTTGCAAGCCAAAGTTGAAATGCACATATGTGAAAAGTATACAAAGAATAAGGGAAATTATTTTTTCTAAACTAAAGCAAATGCCAAAGAGTCTGGAGATCATGTTTTGGAGCGTAATATAGTCAACTAATTCCTAGTACTCACTAAATGAAGTACAGAAGTGAATTAAACCTATAAGATTGTAGGTCTTCCAATAACAGCAGAGAACATTTATTGAATGCCAGTTATATGCTTTTCACATTTATTATCTCATTTTATTTCCAGCACAACAGTCACTTTACTTATTAATTGGATGAACATATAACTAAATCTGTTGGTCTGTGTTCTGATTTGTCACCTATAAATTTGCAGAATCCAATCTGTAAAATCAGGGAGTTAAATTAGACAATCAAATAAGATAATTTGCTCTGTAACTGTAAAGTGGCAATAATAATAATGTCAACAAAATCACCACCAGCAACACTTTTATTGAGCACTCTCTATCTACAAGTTATTAAATGCATGGCTTTCATGTATTATATCCTCTAATACAACAACACAAAGTTAACATGCCTGTCTTGCCTAATATTTATATAGGAGTCTTACCTGGATCAACTGGTACAGTGAATGTTATGGTCTAGAAGAACTATACTGAAGTTTAAGATTTCAGAGGTTAAACTCTTTTGAGAATAACAGAGTTGAGCTGTTACTGATAATGTGGGTAAACTATGAAAGGAATGGAAATAAAAGTCAGCAGGAATGGGAAAAAAATAAGTTTTAGATGGATCCTCCAAAAGACAATAAAATCACCCAGGATTATGAGCAGACTGGTTTTGAAAATCGAATTCCTGTCTCTGAACTGACCACGTGAATGTCCTCGTCTCAGTTTAATTCAACTTTGTCTCCTGAGTATGGCTTTATTATAATGCAGTGTACTCTTGTGGACCCCATCACTATGTTCCTCAGTTCCAGACTTTCTATATTACTATTTACCCATGTTAGACTCCTAGATAACCCAGATATATTCCTATCAATTAGCACCTCATGAGTCAGAGAAACAGCAAAAATGCATTGCCAATTTTATTACTCTAAATTGATCTGTATTTTAAAAAACTATGTTTTTTTGAATTTTGATAGTCATAAGAAAAAACAGATACAAAGGAACAATAGCAGACTTAACACATTTAAGTAGCAGGTTAAAAAAAACTTTAAATATTGATATTAAACAAATGACTTGTATCTTCCACTACATTTTAAAATAGGACACTAATGATGCTTCTCTTACCTTACTCAGTCTTCTCATGTTAATTTACTCTCTTTTCAAATGGAATTCCTGAACTAAATCTAGCTTTTTTTTCTAACCATACCCTTCTTAAGTGACTGATAATAATACTGGGAAAAAGAATCCTCCCAATACAAGTACCTGGTTATAGCTCTTTGGTTAACTGTCAATGCAGATTTGAATTGCAACAGAAAATATTTGATGTCTCAAGTCCTTTAATATGTCTCCAGCTACATGAACACAAATGCTAAAGCAAGTTCTACAACTAGGTGGTTATGTAACAGTGGTCCACTTAATGCTTTGAATGTAGTCCTTGCTGCTCTGCCACTGCAACTTATTTTTAAAATGGACATGCTTCTTTCTCTTCCTGTCTTCCTGCTCCTCCCTAATCTCTCCCCCTACATAATTTCAGGGGAAACAGGATTACCTTTCTTCCCTAATTAGGCAGATTTATCTGTCCTTGAGTACAAACCCACGACAGGAACAAGGTAATCCAGACTTTAAGGATTGTACCTGAAGAACTCAGAAATGACTATCTACCAAATTAACAAGTGAATTACAACTCCAACAGAGAACATGTGGATTGTAGCCTTTGAATCACCTCTTTAAAGACCCTCTGTTCCTGCTGATGGGCAGAACCACAGCCTTTGGGACAGGAGTCTCCTGTGTTTTTCCTTTGCTAGCAAATCAATAAACCTTTTTTCCTTTTTGTCAAAACTGTATCCTCATTATTGGACTGGCACTGGGGACAAGGACTGCGCTTTCCATAAAAGCATTTGTTAACATAAACAGGCAGATTTTTTTTTTTTCTTGGTGGTGCTGGTTTGGAATCCAGTATCACACAGCATGTTAAGATAAGCACTTTACCACTAAGTTATACCAATGGATCCAGAAAGAAAATTTTAATGGAATTGAGCAATCAGAAAAAAGTTAACAAGCTTTAGTTATTATAATAGTTACTTGAAGAAATTGGCAAATAAGGCGAACTTTTGGGTCTAAATGTACAGAACTCTGAGAAATTACCTGATACTTAATTCCACAGATTTCTTCATTTTGATTATTTTTTTAAAAAGTCTAGAGTTTGATAAAAATTACTTTTAAGTTCCAATCCATCAGTTTTGGGACTGATACACAAATGTTTAGCCAGTCAATTTGTAAGAAGGACTGAACCACCATGTAGTCAATCTGAACAAAAACTACATGCTACCACTTAGAAACAAATTCACACCTCCATCTACCAGGAGTACTGACTTAGGAATATATAAAGGGGGCATTTTAAAGTTTCTGAATGATGAGTTAAATATCTTTCAAATGTCCACAAGTTTCTGCTTTAGAGATGTTAAACTTCATGTTATTATATGTTGAATTGAAATGCTTTGTCATATTACTGCATACAGAATTACTGAAAAATACAAACAAAGCTATGCTATGTAAGCCTAACACTATAATAACAATGAAGAACAAATGCTTATCAGAAGGAAACAGTAAAATCTCCAAGCAAAGAGTAGAGTTGTTCCTGATTTAGCACTATAAGAAAATACTAATACTTGAACATTCAAAGTACTCCCTAAAGGACTGGGGATGTAGCTCAGAGGTAGAGCACTGGTCTAGCAGGTTCAATCCTGGTCACTACAAATACAAAAGAAAGAGCACTTCTAATTCAGGGTTTGACCTACTACTCCATTTAGAAAACTATAGTTATCTCTTTGTTTTGATACTGCCATTGCCAAGGCAATGGATCCTATATTTAATGCTGAGTTTGAAATCTATGATGAAGAAAGCAACTTATAAGGTATCCACAGAGACATCTAAAAACAAACTAAGTGATTGCCCTGTTCAAAGAAAAAAGATTAACAATAAAGAAAATAATGGTGGTAACTTAAGCAACTGAATGCCTATGTATTAAGTCACCTAGGAACTGGCAATTGCTTATCATTAGTCTATAACAGATTAAGGATAATATATAATAATATATAATGATAGCTTATCATAGTCTTCTAAATCTTCACATATGTTTGTCTGTTTTTTGGTATCAGGGACTGAACCCAGGGGCACTTAACCATGGAACTACATCCCCAACCCTGCCCCACTTTTTCTTAAGATTTTGAGACAGGGTCTCACTTAGTTGCTTAGGGCCTTGTTAAGTTGCTAAGGCTAGCTTTGCACTTGAGATCCTCCTGCTTCAGCCTCCTGAGCTGCTGGGATTACAGGCATGCGCCACTGCACCCAACCCATACCGGTATTTTTAAGAAGGATAAAGTCTTAAAGATCTTGAATAATCATTTCACAGAGGAACTAAAATTAGAAAGACTACTTTGATTATTAATCCTCTTATTTTAAGAATACTGATATCAATAGGGAAAAGGTTCAAATACAACAAAGTACTTTTAACCATCTTACCTATTTATATTTCTAATGTACAAATTAGAAATATATGAAATATGTAAATGGGTAATATAAAGTTTTTAAAACTTATGAAATATGTAAAACATAGTACCTGAAATTGAACTCTTGGACACTGAATCAGAGATAAGTTAGTACCAATTTTCCTTACGATACTTCGAGATGAACCATATGGTTTTCCAGACCAAAGTACCTGTAGAAGTAAGAAAAACCAAAAGTTTAATTATAAGATTTTTACAACTGTTAATACTGGAGTTGTAACTGCATGACATGCTAACACATTACTTATGGCATCAGAAAGCTCTAAGTGTTATGGGAAATAAGCTCATACTTTCAAAATAAATAAAATATATATATATATATATATATATATATATATATATATTTGTGCATAGATATGTGTGTCTGTATATATATATATATATATATATATATATATATATATATATATATATATCTTGCTATTATTAAAGGCAATAAAGTTTAATGCAAGGCATTATATAAAAATACAGACTACTAACTTTTAAATAATACTATATTTGAATTAAAGACCCAATTTTCTGCAAAGGAAACACTATTTTACCTCTTCTGATATATTTTTACTTTTAGAATTTTAGTAAATAAATTTTTAAAAATATATGAGAGTTACTTTTGCTGTGATAAACTCTTCAAAACAAATCCAAATTAGTACAAAGCTTAGAATGTCAATGGATGCCATGCATGTTACTTGCTGCACAGGAGCACCTGACCAAAGAAGAGTAGTCACAATGCTCCCTAAGCATGTCCCTTGTCTTTAATTTGCATAAAGGTGCTAAATGAGCTAGTGGTAGCCATAATGAGAATTCCTCTGATGGAAAAAAAAAAAAAAAAAAAGTGTACCTAGGACATTATGCTATGCTTAAAGCAAAACCAAAAACAAACCCCTAAAGCAAAAAGCAAACAAATAACACACAGACAGTATATTAAATCATTACAAATTGTACCTTGAAAACTTCTCCCCCAATATATGATCTTTCCTTAAAGAGAAAAACTATCCGTTTTGAGTGCTACACCTGAAAGCCTGGATAGAAGAGGTAAAGAAAGGTAGTATGCTATTAAAAGCAATCATAAAAGAAAAGAATGGGAATAACATGACTATTATACTTATTTCTCAAACCTTAACAATTGTACCCTAAAGACTGAATAAATAATACCAGAACAGTTAGGTATAAAGGGGATAATGGACATCATCCCCCTTTTAAGATCATTCCATGGCTATTGTAGGTTAAAGAATGGAATTACTCTAATATAAACAGTATGACCACGCAACGGATCATGGAAAACTCTGATGGCTAAAACACCCAACCCAAACTGTACCTCAGACCATTATAAAAGCATCATGAACAACTTACCAAATGTGCACAGAAGCAATCTGATTTCTTAAATTTTAGCAGCCAAATCCAATTTAATATGAGTCAAAGTGAGAGTCTTGAGGGTACATATAATACTCCTGGCATTTGCCTTAGCTATTATATATTTTTTATCTTATATATTCAAGGTTTCATGAACTTACCCAGGAGAGTTCGAGAAAACACTAGAATCTACTGGCTATGATAACCAACAAAAACTGTGATTCTGTCTTTGGAAGTATAAATAAAAAGGATGATATGTATTAGAATTAGTAAGTAGAAAGGAATATACTGATATTAAAATATGACTACTATACAAAGAGTTTAAGAGGTAAAGTTACTCTGAAGTCTAGAGCAAAATATCACTCACAATAATCATACAGAGGATTGTTATATAAATAGTTTTAATAATGTGAGGACTGCCAGGCATTGTGGGACATGCCTGTTTTCTCAGCAGTTCAGCAGGCTGAGACAGGAGGATCATAAGTTCAAAATAAGCCTCAGCAATTTAGTGGGGTCCTACACAACTTAGTGAGACCCTAGCTCAAAATAAAGAATAATTTTAAAGACTGCTCAGCAATTAAGCATCCCTGGGTTCAATATTCAGTATAAAAATAAAAAAAATAATAGTGATGATGATGATGATGATGATGATGATATGACTAAGAGATGGAAAAATACCTGACTAGAGGGAAATGGGAAGCCTCACAGTTCTACAAAATCAACATAAAAGCCGCTATCCCCAAAACAGAACACGCGCAAGTCATTCTAAAATACACAGTATTTAAGCAAGCATTTTACCTTATACATTTCAATAGCTCTTGGTCTTTTAAAAATAAATCCATAGAGCAATGGTAACACCACCATTTGGTGATTTCTTTCTTTCTTTTTTTTTTTTTTTTTTGAATCTTGTATTTAGTCACAAGTCAAAATTCTTTTATGATGTAAGAGAATTGGAATGCTATTTATGCATCACAATGTAATAATTACATAGTATAGAGTGAATCTTCCTCCTCTCCAGGAAAAAAAGATCTTGCCTGGAGATGAAGAGGACAAAAAGCTCACAAAGAAAAATTTTGAAAGAATTTGCCAAGGTCAGGAAGGATTGTTTCTGACAGCTTTTAGCAGTCTTCATTATACATGCTGCAGGGCTAAGTTTCAATTATCATCTTTCCATCTGTTTAATATCAGAAGAAAAGAATACCAGGTGCCTTCTAGAAAAGTAGCCAATGATTCAACTATTAATTGTAAGGAATATGTAGACTATTTCATCTACAAAGATTAAAGGAAGGAAAAAGAACAGACTGCTTTATGTGATTATTTTTTTCAAGCATACATAGTAGTAAAACAATGTTCTTTTGTTACTTGTGAAATGCATAGTATTTAGCGCCAGGAAATATGAAGCAAGACTCTATGTAAGTTAATAGATATATAGAAAGAACAGCTACCAGACTAAAGTGAGGAGACAAAAACTAAGGGGAAAGACTTCCAAGAACTCCAAAAGTAGGTCTTGATATATATATTTTTTTCTATTCAGTACTCATGGAAGGAGAGAAATTATAAATGGCTGTGAAGAAACAGTGAACAGATGGCACTGAAAAGTCACCATCTGTGCACCAGGAGGCTGCATGACCCAAGTGCATCTCCTACCTTACCTTGTGGCTAAACTGTGTCTTGTCAATATACTGGTTTGGAGAAGGGTATGCTCCTTCTAAAGATAATCTGTCATTAATATTTCTTCAGATTTAAGAGAGAAGTCAGGGAGAAAACTGTCATTGCTAGATAATTTGATCTCACTGAGAAATAAGAATTCAATTCCCTTAAGAACTCACTAAACAGAAAAACTATGCTTTATCTATAAAAACTGCTTATAAATAATCTAATGAGTCTGTGTATGTGTGTATGTGTGCATGTCTGCGTCTAGTAATGACAGTCCATAACATTCAGCAACAGTTTTGGAAAGTGATGACAGAAAGGAGGAGGATGACAACAGGAAAGCAATTTGTTCTTTTTAACATTGTGAAATGCTATTGTAGAAGTGTTGATGTGTGAGGCTAGAATCTGAAGCATCATCTGTCTCATCTGTGATAACTGCACTCAAGTTTTATGTGGCAATTCATTTGTTATATTATTTATATTATTACTCAAAAGAAAATATTTAACAGAAGAAACTATAAATTCTAAGTAAATACAGATTTTTAGATAAACTGATATAATTTGATTCATGTATACATATACAAATTTCTATGTGTATATAACATTTTTCTAGGAAAACTGTTCATGTCATCAATAAAATTTTTAAGGAGTCTGTGATCCAACAAAGTATAAACTCTTACATTCCAAGGGACCCAGGGAAATATAAAAAGTGTGTATTGGGGAGAGGGAAGAAGAATGGAGCAAAGAAATTCTTTTTGATAATTTCAAAATTCCTAACTGAAGATTAAACTTCTATCAGTTCTCTTCTTCCCTGCTCTAAATTCCTAATCACATTTATATTGGTCCTCCAAAGAACAAAAGAAAAAGATATAATTCTCACATATTATTATTTTTCTAATACAAAGTAGATATTCGCCATAGTATCTTTTTTTATCATAAAATACTAAGGTTAATAGGAATCACATTAGCTTCATATACTATTCTTTCTTCTTTAGTTTAATAATGTTTTTGTTTAGGCATATAAATATAATACACTGAGAAAAAAGTTTGGATGCATTCAAACAAATGTTGAGGCAAAATGGAGGACAGTGAAGAGAAATTCTAAGCCATGGCAGCACAAAGACCTGGCATTAAAGGCAGGCTCTACTGATTTACTGCCTATATAAGCTGATCACTGTATTGATTTTCCATTTTCTCAACTATAAAATGGGAACAATATCTGCTTCATGAGTCCATGAGTATTAAGTGAGTTAACATATTTATAATGTCTTTAATAAACATTCACAGTCTTCTTCCTCTTCTATTGTAAGAGGTTGCAAACTAGTCTAAAAAGAGGAAGGAATTTGGAACCAAACTGGGTTCACATGATATATATATACACACACATATATACACACATACACACACACACATATATATGTGAATGTGGGGCGGCGGGGGGGGGGGGGTGTGCGGAACAGACAGACAAAAGTGGAGCTAAGAAAGTTTCTCTTCAGATATCCAATAGTAAAGGCTATACTTTTGTATTTTGATTATTTAACAGGAGGCCATTACCCTCCAAAAATCTTAGAAATTAAAAATCTCCAAAAGATCAAAATGCTTTATTTCAGAAGAAAAGTTGAGTTTATACAGATTTTCAGCAAACTGATTAAAGCTGATAATTATGTACTAGTCTCAACACATTAAAAAAACAAAGATCCTGCTCATCTTCTATTAATAGGAAGGGCCCTTAGTTTTAATTACAATATTTTGAGTTAGTCCATTCTCTGACAAAAGACATCCATTTTACAACTTAAAATAAACAAAGCTAAACAAAATGTCACTTGTGCCTAAGAGAATTCTGTAAGTGGCCTGGTGGCCTAAATTAGCCCAAGTCATATTAGCCTGATGAGGTGGGGGAAGTGGGGGACAAAGCCAAATCAGGAAGCTTTTTACTATTGAATGCAACAACACTATATACAAGGCCTTGTGCTACACACAATTCTTCTTATTCCTATTTTGAAGATGAAAAGAATAACCAGCAGAGGCAAATTTCAGATCCAGGTTTATTTAAATCCAGGGCCAGGAATCTTACCACTAAACTGTATTTCTCATTAAAACAACAAATAAATAGAAATCAAAATGCTTCACTTTTGGGGGAATTTGAAATAAAAGAAGCTTTCCTTCTTTCTGGAAGCAACAGGAAAAGAAACTCTTTTGGTATAAATACTAAAATGTTAATCTACTATATGTAGCCAAATGGTGGTATGTAAGTGATAAAAGGATGTTCAAAAAATATGAACATGTATCTGAAAAAGATGAAAATATCAGTAATTTATTTTCCTATTATTTATCTTCAAGCTAATAATTTCAAAACCATGCAGCTACACAAATAGATAAATAAATAAATGTAATTTTAATTGGTCCTCTGCTTTTTATATCTCCAAATAGATGTAGCCTTGGGGAATTAGATTCAAAGTTCAGACACAAAGTAAAAACTAAAAACTGAGAAGTACACTAGAATACCCATATTCAAATGATGTAATCTAACTATATATTTAATAAAACTTAATACCATATCACAGAATTTGAAAATGAGAAACAAGTATTCTACAAAATGTGCCTGGCACAGTTGCTCTCATAACTTCACAGAGGATCTGAATAAAATTTATGTATCGTATAAAATACCTATAAAAAATGTCAAGAACAGAACTAACATCTGTAGAATAGAACGATCATAATACACTAAATTTTTTTCTTCCTCCTTAAAGTTTATATTTAGGAGACATGACTTACCTTTAACTCTGATGAATGACATTATAAAATAATTCAATATTAATAATTTTACAACACTAAGTTATCAACTGTGAGTCAAACATTTTATTATATGATTTTTCTGTATATTTAAGCCTTCCCTCACTAGTAACAGATGCGTTGCTTTTAATGGTCACATGATACAGTAATTAAGTTTTCCACTTACCCCAGAAAGTTATTCCCTTACTCGGGATGCTGGGAAAAGATTTTCTATTATACAAATAATGAGCAAATTAAACATTATATAAATATTAAATTCAAATATTGATCACGTATAGAACTTATCTAATTTTCTCAGAAAAACTCTTAAAAGATCGAAATGTCTAGATTTTAAAAATGAATTTTGAGCACTCACCGATTGCATGCTTACTCCAACTTGCTGAAAAACCATCCTCATCAGGCGCTTAATCCAGCCAAGCATTTAGATGGTAAAGTTGTCCCAAATTTGCATTTCAAGTACTTCAGGCATACATCGCAGTACATTGTCCATTAAAGCACACTGAAAATTTTAAATGCAGATACTGAAATGAATTGTTATTATTCAGAATCTCTACCATGTACAACTTATCTTACAAAGTAAGCCTAAGACATTTTAAAACTTGCAGCAGCAAAATTATTTCTAGGAAAACATACTACACCTGTTACTGCCACCACTGACAGAATAGTCAATATAGTTCCTCCTTTTCTGTGTCACCAGATACTGTGGCATCTGCTTAGCCAAGTCTAAAGCTCATGTATCCTAACAAAAAGGAGGCTAGAAAAGCAAGTACCTGCAATAACAAACAGGTTTTTCTTGCCACCAAAAAATTAGGAAGAAAGGAATTCCAGGAACAGGATTCCAATGCAACATGGTCAAAAATGACAAAAGTCCTTTTATACTCACTAGCACCTTCAACTCACCACCCCTGTGCCCCATTATACACTACAGAGATCTCAAATATTAACTTGCATCATGTAATTTCAAAATATTAGTCTACAAATGAGATGGCGTTTAAACAGAATATAAATCAACGCAGTGCTGCATCATTAAAAAAATGTTGCATTAAAACAAAAACAAAAACCAGAAAAACAAAACTGAACAGAGCAATGTGTTTTTGAGATAGTTAATTTACATTTTAATGTAAGCTCCTTATCTCATCATGGACCAACAGCAGTTTGTGGTCTACACTTTGAGAACTTTATAATTACAGAGAATGGGAGAAAAAAGTAAAGCGCCACAAATATGCCAGCAATGGATGCAAATTAACTGAAAAGAGGAGCCGTACCCTAAATGACAGAAGAGTGGAAAAGAAAATGAGCACTATGGGCAAAAATGAACAGCAATGGGGAAGGCAGGAAAACAAGATTGAGTACAGGATGCATGTTTATATGAGAACTTGAGCTAAGAGCTTATACTGGAGAAAAAGGAAAAAGAAACAAAGATCAGATTAAATAAATCTTGAAACCACAAAGTAGAGTTTGACTCAATATGTAAGTTTAAAAAGTTTGTTAAATATGGCAAAATTTAAATTAAATTTGATTCTTTGAAAAACCATAAAAGAAATAGTACACACATTTTACTGGAAGGTACCAAATTATCATTTATAGAGGGGCAAAGGTAGGATTCAAACTAGAAATTTAGATTTTTATCTACTACACCATACTACTCCCTACAGGGAAAAGTAGTTTGAGGAAATTATTTGAAATTTTGAGTGTTTTCTGTTTTGATGTTGTCATACATGATCCTACTCAACTTTCAATATGTTTATATACTTAAAGTAATGATATAAAATAGTTAAGTATTAAAAGGTGCAGTGGCACATGCCTATAATCCCACTGATATGGCAGGCTGAGGCCAGAGGATCACAAGTTTAAGGCCAGTCTCAGCAACTTAGTGAGACCCTGTCTCAGAGTAACGAATAAAAAGAACTGGGAGTGTAGCTCAGTGGTAGAGCACCCTTGGGTTCAATTCCCAATACCAAAAAAAAAAAAAAAAAAAGTGTGAAGTGTTAAGGCTTTGAGCTAGAGCCTATACTCTAGAGCCTATACCCTTGTATCACCTACCAATTGGTGACTATGAACAAAATAATTACCTTCACACTGACAGAATTAGTCAAAGAGACATTTTAATGTCACCAAGATCTACTATTGAATAAATGAATCACATCTATAAGAGTCAATGAAAATGAATGAAATGAAAAGAGGGAAGAGTCAAAATGACATAAAAAATAGAAATGGTTGGCCAAAAACTAGGCAAGGTCAAAGAATGATTTTAAGTGAGGGTGAAACCCTCCTATTTTGTTGTCTCCATAGTTTTACTTTTTCCAGAATGTCATATAGTTGGAATCTCAATAGTATATAGCCTTTTCAGATTGGTTTCTTTTACTGAGTAAGGTGTATTTGAAGGTCCCTGCGTGTCTTTTTGTGTTTTAATAGTTCACTTCCTTTTACTGTTGAACAGTACTTCATTATCTGGATATACCACAGTTTATTCACTCATCTGCCAATAGGCATCTTGTTTGCTTCTGAGTTTTTGACAATTATAAATAAAAATGCTATAAATATCTATGTACAAATTTTGCTTGTTTTATTAAATGAGTACTGCATTAGGGTTCTTTAGAGAATCAGAAACAACAGCACATATACATTTTTTTAAGTTTTTAAAAGTTGTAGACGGACATAATACCTTTATATTTTGTTTAATTTGTTTATGTGGTTCTGGGGATCGAACCCAGTGCCTCACACTTGCTAGGCAAGCGCTCTACCACTGAGCCACAATCCCAGTACCAACAGAACATATATTGATACCTACAAAGAGATTTATTTTGAGAGATTGGATCACTCAATTATGGAAGCTGGGAAATCTCATAATCTGCCATGTGCAAGTTTGAGGGACAAGTCTGCTCATGGTATTATCCCACTCTGAATCTGAAGGTCTTTACAAGGATCTTTTCTTCCCCCTATATCATATCCTAACAATTTTTCCTACATTTTATTGGTGCACTATAGCTGTGCATATTGATGGAATTTGCTGTTACATATTCATACATGCACACAATACATGGTGCCTCAGCAACTAAGGCTGGTCCTTTTCCTCTACAGATCTGCAAGGGACTTCTTTAAGGCAAGAGATGGATGTTCCCACTAAAGCAATGAGCAAATCTGCTCCTCCTTTGCCTTTTTGTTCTATTAAAGCCCTCAAAGGATTTTATGACACCCCTTAGTGAATAGATTCAAATACAAACCTTTTCCAGAACACGCTCACAAACACACCCAGAAATAATGTTTTACCAGCAATTTCTGCATAACTTAGCTGAAGCTAGCTGTCACATAAAATGAACTATTCACAGATAGTTCTTTTTTAAAAAAATATTATTTGCCAGAAAGAAATGTAATACCTAAAATCTAGGCTAGAGATTAAGGTTAGTGATCACTAGTTTAGAAAAATAAGATGAAAGGAATTAATTCATGAGGACAAAGAGAAGCCAGTAGAAAGCTTAGGAAATACTGTAGAACAAACAGAAAAAATAAAAAGCACTGAGAAAAAGAATCAGTAGAAAAATTAGAGTTGTCACTAAAAGAAAAAAAAAGAAATTCAAGAAAGTTAATGATCCTTGTTAAAAACACAGAAGGGAAGTCATTTTGCTGGACTCTTATTGCCACCCTTTCCACCCTCTCCACTGTGCTCTCTGGAACCCAATTTGGAGGTAAACACCCCCCAACTCCACATCATCAACATATTCACTCACCACTAAGCACTCCTGGCCCACTTCCTTTAACTGAAACTTGGCTTGCCTAAGCTACAGCCTTCTCAAAAGGGTTTCTGCTTGTTATTCCCTTAAACTTTATGTCAAGACTATTTGTCATCAATTATTTGCCTCCGATCTTTTAATAATCCCTTCCTCAAAGACAGGGATTAAATTAAAGGGAGAGAAATTAAAGAGAGAGCCATGGTTAGTCACTCATGGCTGCCAGTGGAGGGATAGTTTGACAAACGAAGCATATGGGCATTTTCAGAAATGAAGCCAGTCTTGTCTTTACTTTGAGTGTGATAGTAACTACATGGCTGTGTTCATCATAGAAATGTTCACCAAAACCAGTGAATTTTGTTGTATGCAAATTATACCTCCATGGGGGAAAACAACAAAACAAAATTTTCCTTTGAGATGCTGCTTTAAAACCAAGTTCCCTTCATTGTGGCTGTTACTTAAGAGTGCTTTGTCTTTCATCATCATTCAGCTAAGATTTTTGTTGAACCTTCACTCCAAGTCCTTCCCTAAAATGAATTCTGCACTTTGACTTGATTAGCACTAGTAAATCAATAAATATATCTTATATTCTTGTCAGTGCTGGATGATTTTGGTATTCATACAGCTGATATATCAAGCAGAGTAGTATAAAAGTTCATTTTCAGAAAGCTATAAAACAGTCAAAACTAAAACTAAGCTAATCATAGATTAAGGTTGCTGTCTTTGTTTTATTATATTTGGAGACAGGAGTTTTGACTGACAAAAGGCATGAAAGAAACTTCTGGGATGCTGGCAATGTTCTTTTTTTTTTTTTTTTTTTTTTTTGATGATGCTGGGAATTGAACCCAGGGCCTTCTGCATGCAAGGCAAGTACCCTACCAACTGAGCTATATCCCAAGCCCAATGTTCTGTTTCTTGATACAGATGCTCAAATATGTTGACTTTGTGAAAACTTATCAAGATACACATTTACATATTTTTGACTGTCAGTTATGTTTCAAATAAAAACTTTAAAATCACAAAAAAGCCTTTGGCTAAGTTATATAACTTTGATAAATTTCTCTTAGAAATAAAAACGTTAATACCTAAATACATACATATAATTTCTGCAGTGCTTTTTATATTCATGAAACTGGAATTTAAATGCATATCAATAAAATAATGTTAACTAAATTATGATATATTATAAAATATTATGCAACTATTTAAAGAAAATTATAGTCTAAGTACTGATATGAAAGTATATCCCTGATATTTAAGAGTAACATGAAAAATGTAATTTCATTTTTACAAAACAAAAATCTTCAACCTTTTATGTGTGTAGGTGGTGCTGGAGATGGAACCCAGGGCATCTTACCATGGGCCCTCATTGCTGCCTATCATTCTAGGAAAGTTTTATTTTCTTACTTTTCCCCTTTTTGTATTTTCTAGAGGAATTATTTCAGACTATCTCCGGGTAACCTGCTGTGGCTTAATGTGTCACCCCCAAAGTTCCTTTTTGAAACCTAATCCCAAAGCAATAGTGTTCAGAGATGTGGCCTTTAGAGGTGATTAGGTCATGAAGGCTCTGCCCATGTAAATGGACTAACGTCAATAATATGGGATTGCCGTAGTGAGTTTCTGACATAAAGGACAAATTAAGCCCCCTCTTGAGCTCTCTTCCCTTATGTGCTATCTTGCTCCTTCACCTTTCATCAGATGCAGCATGAAGGCCTTTGCTAGATGCTGGTGCCATGGTCTTGAACTTTCCAGTCTCCACAAACATGAGACA